GGGGTTCCCCGTAAAAGCCCTACCAGGCCCTTTAGGCCAACAGAAGCACTGGATGTTTGTTTGGAAAGCACTCTGGATGCAGGACAGGTTAGTAGCTAGATTTCATATTTCAAGTTCTGGCCAGTGATCTGTCCTCAAGACCCAGTAACCCAGTGGATCCTCGGTTGGAAAGGTCTTCAAGTCTGCTCTTGCCCCTAGATAACCCTGCACCATATGATGCAGACTCTGCCGATGGGTGCTTAAACCTTACAGCCCTGGGCACTGAGGACTAAAGAATTGTTTAAAGGCATCAGTCAGCCAGCCGCCTTCTCCACCACTCTTCCTTTGACTGAACAAAGCCTCGGAAACATGTTGTCCAGGAAATGGTAACTTCCCAGTGTCTGGAGAGGTGTTACACAAATATTTTTTCAAGGCGTCCTCAAGATGTTTTATCCTCTGCTCCCTCTGTGAAGGCAAGATGAGGTCTGCAACTTTACCCTTGTAACGTGAATCAAGAAGGGTTGCCAACCTGTAATGATTCCTCTCCTTGATACCACAAATCCTGGGTCCTTTCGCAGGCTTTGTAGAATCAGGGAACCAATGCGGTGTAAGTTTGAAGTGGTATGAGATTCTCAGTCCTATGGTCACTGAGGATGACACTGTAAGGAACTATCTCTTCCCAGCCATGTATTACTCCTGGCTGGGTTTCTGTGTACTGAAAACCATCCCTTGAATACTGCCATATATCATCCTCTCTTTCCATGCTGCCACAATCCTCCTCCTACTCCTCTGCTTGCTCCTGTCTGTTGCAGGAATGGTATCTGTATAAAGGGGGCCTTGAGTGGAAAGGAATTCTCCCTCTTCCTCACGCTGTTCTGCCTCAAGTGCCCTATCCATGTGCTCCAGCAGGAAGACCAGAGGGATAGTGTCACTGATGCATGCGTTGTCGCAGATCACCACCCTTGTGGCCTGCTGAAATGGTGACAGCACAGTGCATGCATCCTTTATTAGCAGCCACTGGTGTAGCGAAAAGAAGCCAAGCTCTCCTGAGCCTTTCCTTGTGCCATACTCACACAGGTATTCATTTATGGTTCTCTGCTGTGTGTGCAGCCACTGCAGCATTGCCAATGTTGAGTTCTACCTTTGTCGGCATGTCATAAATGAGGCGGTTGGTGGGCAGGTCGAATTCTTGTTGAATGTCAGCCAGCCAAACACCAAGCATCTTTTAGCCTGACTGCTTGCGTAGCATCTTGAATGCTTACAGAGCACTGTTCGTCCAGAGGACAATTCAGCAGAAGAGCCATAGAGGAGGAGGAAGAGGAGGGAATAGAGTAGACAGATGTGGCAAAATCACCACCAGCTTTTTGGAGGTGTGATGACGGAACAAGCTCCAGCACTAAACCCTGTTCTGCATCCTTCCCAGCTGCCAGCAGTTACCCAATGGGCCGTGAAGGAAATGTAATGTCCCTGACCATGTCTGCTGGACCATGTGTCAGCAGTAATGTGGACCTTGCTGCTGACCATCCTATTCAACGAGGCTGACATATTGCCTTCCACATGGTGGTACAGAGCTGGAATGGCCTTATGTTAAAAGAAATTTCTTTTCAGGACCTGCTACTGTGGTACAGCACATTCCAAAAATTCACGGAAGGGGGCAGAGTCCACCAGATGGAAAGGCAGCAGTTGTAATGCTAGCAATTTGGCCAAGGTAGCATTTAGATGCTGAGCATGTGGATGGGTGGGACATTTTTTTTTTTTTTATGGCTCAGCAACTGAGGTAGCAAAATTTGCCTGGTGAAATCAACAGGTGGTGTACTGCTAGCAGATTGGGTGCAAGGACCTGTGGTACCCATTGCTATACCATCATCCCTCTCAGTGGAGGCTGTTGAAATGCCTTGAGGTATAGTAGAGGTCGAGATCCCAGAAGAGGAGCAAGGAGAAGTCTGCACTTTTTTATGATGTTGGTCTTTCAGGTGCTGTTGCCAACAGGCTGCATGGCAGGTCATCATATGTTTTGTCAAGCATGTGGTGCCCAAGTGGCTGGTGTTTTGATCCGCTTCAGACAGAGACTGCAAACAACAACACTGCAGTCTGCTGCATGTGTTGAAAAAAAGCCCACACCAATGAACTTTTGGAAGTCAGTGGGGATTCAGCAGAGCCCTGCACCTGTGGAGCTCTGTTGTGTGATGCAATAGGGTGGCTGCCCTTACGCCTGCCCCTGGAGGACATACTGCCTCGTTGGAGTTGTGCCTCCTCCTCACTTTCCTTCTCTGTTCTCTCAGGCACCCAAGTACAGTCAATGACCTCATCATCCCCTCCCTCTTCATCACTGGAGCCACCTTGGCAATATGCTTCAGCTGGGGGAACATAACTGCCAATTTCTTGTCCATCATCGGCACCCCCTCTCTCTAGGCTCATGTCACTCCCTTCCTCAACCTGGTAACCAACATTGGAGCATTCAGATTGCTGCGCATCCTCCAACAGCTTATAACTGACAATTTGATCACATAATTTTGGTGACTCCTCCATGCATGATGGTGGGGTTACGGAAGGAGGGAGTAGCTGTGGACAAGGAGCCTGTGGAATAGGCTGGGTGATAGAGGATGAGGGAGGATGAACTAGTATGAGCCTGGGTGACAGAGGATGTGGATGGCTTAGTTATCCACTCCACCTCCTCTTCTGCATATTGTGGCTCAATAATACGGCTAACTCCGGAAAAAAAAGGAAAAGCGTGTCCTGCCCACAGAGGGTACATCATGTCCTCAACCACCTCTTTTCACTGTGGGCTGCTTATCCTCTTTTAGTTGCCGGTGAGTGTCTGCCTCTCCTTATTGGCCTTTCGGACATGATAGGGATTTTTATAGATTTTATTTTAGAGTATGGGATAGGAATTTAGTGTTTGGGTGCAATGCTTTTGTGCTTTGCGCACTATAAACTGTTTTATTATTGTTTTTTTTTAATAAAGATTATAGGAGTTACAGCAATTATGGACAATTTTTGTAATGCTGCAAAAAAAATAAAAAAAATAAATGTAAACAAATTAAGAAAGCCAAAAAAGGGAACCACTGCTGACGCAGAAGGAGGAACACCTGTGAGGCAGAAGGGGGAGAGCAATTATGGAGAAAATGTTTTTGCTGCTGCTAGTAAAAAAAAAATACAATTAAATCATGGCTAATACAATACAATTAGATCATGGCTAATACAAATACAATTAAATCAGAGCCAATCGTGGCTCTCACAGTGAATTGTACTGTGATTGGCCAAAGCATTGCACCTGATCTGTGGTCAGGTGCATTGCTTTGGCCAGTCATGGCTCTCAGTGCACTGTAAGAGCGCAGTACATTGTTCTCCAAACACACGAACACACGATGTTCCAGGCCAACACTACTTTCCACCTGTCATATTAATTGTAAGATTCCAGCCCTTGCAATTCCCTGGGCAGACCTGGCTTCTTGGTGGGGGTGGAGCTCCCTCTCCTAAGTCTGCCTCAATGTATTTTGACCTGCAGGAACAGGACTAATGTGTGGCTATGCCACTATTGGCTTGCCTGCCTGACTGTCGACCCGCCTGTCTGTTGCCAGTAGCACAAATATATGCTGCTTCTGTTTGTGAAGTCAAGGCACACTGATCACCAATGTAAGGGGGCAAGCTGACCATCAATGTAAGGGGGCATGTTGACCACCAGTGTAGTGTGGAGTGCTGGCCTACAGTGTAAGGGGGCACTCTTACCAGCAGTGTATGCGTCATGCTGACCAGCAATGTAAGAATGTAGCCAAGAGTGTAAGTAAGCACGGTGACCCACAGTTTAAGGGAAACACTGAGGTAGTGTGAGTACACTGAGCACCACTGACCACCAAACTTAAAGGGGCACTTACTACTGCTCCCTGCACTCTACACCTATACAGTGCACTTATATAGTAATAACCCCCTGCACTCTGCACCTATGCAGTAATAACCCCCCCTGCTCTCTGATCATTGCACTGTATGAGCTATACTGTACATTACATAATTTTGAATGCTGCACTGTATATCTGTATGACCTCTGCCTTGTATGTGCAACATTGCTTATCACATACTTTAGTTCTGATCACTACATACTTGCTGATAAATAGTCCTTACCCCTGTTCTCTATACACTATGCTGTACAATTCGTAGTTCTGAGCCCTGCACTCTTTATGCTACATAGCCCTAACTTCTGCACGCTATACACTGGGGTTGATTTACTAAAGGCAAATAGACTGTGCACTTTGCAAGTATAGTTGCACTTATGTTCCCCAGAGCTTAGTTAATGTGTATAAATTTTGTAAAATAATAGCCAATCATTTGCAAGAAAAAAAAACAGCATTTTTGCTTGCACATGATTGGATAATGGGAAATCAGCATAGCCTCACCATATTCACTAAGCTCTGGGTAATATGAGTGCAACTGCACTTGCAAAGTGCACAGTTTACTTGCCTTTAGTAAATCAATCCCATTGTGTTGAATTTCACACAAGAAAGGAGGCACAGTGACCACTCTGTGCACAATGTTGTTTGTTACATAATTCTAACCACTGTCCCCTATATATCGTATTTTTTCACACCATAAGACGCACTTTTTTCCCCCCCAAAAAGGGGGGAAAATGTCAGAGCGTCTTATGGAGCGAATATAAAGCGGCCGGTCCGGTATTTTTGCACCACCATGTCAGAATACTGGGCCGGCCGCTCAGCTGTTGTCTCCTGCAGGGCCTTACCTGTTCCTCGCTCCAGCGCTGCACAGTCTTCCCGCGCTGGCTTCTGTGACAGCCGGGTGCCCACTGCGCATGTGCTGCGCTTTGTGAATGATCCGGTGTCTTCTGGGACACATGAAGGGTCCCAGAAGGCGCCGGGCCATTCACAAAGCGAAGTGCTTCTCGCACCTGCGCAGTGGGCACCCGGCTGTCACAGAAGCCGGCCCGGGAAGAAGAGGAAAGGCAACTCCGCGGAAGTGGGAGCGGGTACCTGTCAAATTCAGGTAACCGCTCCCCCTCCCTTCCCAAAGGTCAGCAGTCTCTGGTCATCCCCTGCACTGTCTGCAGTCTCTGGACATTCCCTGTACTGTCTGCAGTCTCTGGTCATTCCCTGCACTGTCCGCAGTCTCTGGTCATTCAATGCACTGTGTCCGCAGTCTCTGGTCATTCCCTGCACTGTCCGCAGTCTCTGGTCATTCCCTGCACTGTGTCCGCAGTCTCTGGTCATCCCCTGCACTGTCTGCAGTCTCTGGTCATTCCCTGCACTGTCCGCAGTCTCTGGTCATTCCCTGCACTGTGTCCGCAGTCTCTGGTCATTCCCTGCACTGTCCGCAGTCTCTGGTCATTCCCTGCACTGTCCGCATTCTCTGGTCATTCCCTGTACTGTGTCCGCAGTCTCTGGTCATCTCCTGCACTGTGTCCGCAGTCTCTGGTCATCCCCTGTACTGTGTTCCGCAGTCTCTGGTCATCTCCTGCACTGTGTCCGCAGTCTCTGGTCAATCCCTGTACTGTGTCCGCAGTCTCTGGTCATCTGCACTATGTCCGCAGTCTCTGGTCATCTCCTGTACTATGTCCGCAGTCTCTGGTCATCTCCTGCACTGTGTCCGCAGTCTCTGGTCATCTCCTGCACTGTTTCTGCAGTCTCTGGTCATCTCCTGTACTGTGTCCGCAGTCTCTGGTCATCTCCTGTACTGTGTCCGCAGTCTCTGGTCATCTCCTGTACTGTTTCTGCAGTCTCTGGTCATCTCCTGTACTGTGTCCGCAGTCTCTGGTCATCTCCTGTACTGTGTCTGCAGTCTCTGGTCATCTCCTGCACTATTTCTGCAGTCTCTGGTCATCTACTGTACTGTGTCCGCAGTCTCTGGTCATCTCCTGTACTGTGTCCGCAGTCTCTGGTCATCTCCTGTACTGTGTCCGCAGTCTCTGGTCATCTCCTGTACTGTGTCCGCAGTCTCTGGTCATCCCCTGTACTGTGTCTGCAGTCCATTGGTTCAGAATATTTTTTTTTCTTGTTTTTCACCTCTAAAACCTAGGTGCGTCTTATGGTCAGGTGCGTCTTATGGAGCGAAAAATACGGTAATGTTTTTTACTTTACATAGTCTTGACCGATGCACTTTATAAAGTTGAGCATTACATAGTCCTAATCACTTACTCCTTATGCTGTTTTGTATGTCACATAGTCCTGACTACAATTTTCTTTATATTAGATAGTCGTTACCACTGTACTCTATACACTATGTTGTACATTATGCAATCCTGACAACTGCACATTATGTACTATGTTTTAAATTACATAGTCTTGACCACTGCATTGTATATGCTACATTGATCATCATATAGCACTGGCCATTGCAATCTATACACTATGTTGTAAAATACATTCTGCTTACTAAGGTGTTTATTGTGTCAGTTACTGGTTGACAAACAGTTCTTAGCAATCTATTGCAGTCTTTTTTCTATGTGCAAAAATGTATATGTAATGACAGAGTTTCATTTAAAGAAAAAAAAAAAAACCTTGGTGCTGAGGTTTATGTGTAGAGGTTTATGTGTATCTGTGAGGCTGCCACTTTTGACACAGTAATTAAGACATATTTTTTGGGCACAAGGACTGCAGCATATATGTGTAGTGCAAGAGAAAGCTTTGATTTTATTTAGCCTGTTCCTTTAAAACCAATCCCACTGGTAGGTGTAATTTGACAACTTCCACCAGTTACTGTGGTGCGCTGCCTTTGTGTGCACCAGGTGCACCAAGTGTTTCACAATCCTTCAATGGCCTTGAGGCTCCTGGCCCTGTCTTATAAAAATTTGTACTGCATACTCACTGATTCTGCGCTTGTAAATCTGACAATCAGAATACGTGGAATGGCAAGCATGGCGGATTATTCAATAGTTTGTAGCAGTCTCAAACTTCAGCCAACTGTTGTATCCTGTTAGGGTTTCACGGATCCTTTCCTACATCTTACTGGTCCTGTCTCCAATGAATCACACGTTTCACCATAGATTTGGAGGCCAGAGCAGCTTCTCTGGAGTTCTTTGTAACCCCAGTTTCATAGTTTTTTGGATAAAGTGAAGATGAATTAGAACCCCTTATGTTTTACTTTTTGCTGTCTGTGCCGTTAGGGGGACTAGTCTTGTTTACTATTTTCATTAAAAGGGAAAGAAAATTCCAAATTTTGGGTTGACATCAGAACAGTAATAGAGGGGAACTCTTCCAATAGAGACAGTATTTCTGGTGACCCTGGTGACATCGTGATATTCCCACACTTGGAGGAATGTACTCTCACTTCCTGGTTTGACTTTAGGGCAGACATCAAAGGGAAATCTCCCTTATGGGACACAGTTGGCAAAAAAACTGACAGGGGTTTTAACCTTCCTCCTTATTCAAAATGACAGTAAGGTTTTGCATTTAGTTGCATGTTAACTTTACTTACTGATTATATTATGTTCTGAGCACTAGTTGCTTCTATGTTTTGGAGATCCTGTTCACTGAGCATAGCCCCCGGCTTCCTCTCCTCTTGCTTGGGCTCACTGATCACAAAACCCCCTGCGTGCTGACTTCCTGCTCCAGCTCACTGATAACATGGGCTCCAACATCTGTTCCTCCTGATTCTGCTCACTGATCACACAGTCCCTGATGCCTTCTTCTCCAAATCCCACTTAATGAGCACATGGCCCCCTGCATTCTCTCCTCCTGCTCCCACTCGCTGATCACACAGCCCCTGTCATCCTCTCCCCATGCTGTGTTCACTGATCACATGTCCCCCCTGTGTCCATCCTCTCCTCTTTCTCCTGCTCACTGATCACATGGTCCAGGCAGGTATTGTAACAACACCAAATAATAACTTTTATTAGGCACCTGACCTAAGTAGCAACATTAGAAACAATGTGAATTTTATGCTTTTATGTTACGTAATTTGAATGCTATCAGTACTGGTGCTATTGCACTATTTATCTGTTATTATCACTCTAGAGCACCAGCAGAGAAGTGGGTTCTATAACTTTGGCTGGAGTATTCTATGAAGGCAGAAGGAACCATAGTGATTGAGCTCCTATCTATGTCGCACAACAAAGAAACCTGTAAATGCACTGTGTGGATCATACAAGACAGGTGGAGAGTACTGGCAGTGACATCGCTAGATGTTATATACCAAGCTTTAACCAAAGCTCCATTTGTACCACACCATTTATTATGAGTGAACCTATTAGTGTGTGATCACTAAATATGTGGTACATATAAGGATTTTTAGCTTAACCGCTTCCTGTCCGGCCCATGTATATAAACGGCCAGACAGGAGCATTGCAGGAACAGGTGGCTGTTTATAAATGTCCTCCTCGCTCCCCGCCTGTGCGCGCTCCCTGGGAGCACGTGGCACCGTGATCCGGTGCCCGCTGTGTGAGGTCCCAATCATGTGAACACTGATTGGCCAATCAGTGATCACATGAATATTAGTAAGCAAGATGTCACTTCGACATCATTGCTTACTACTAGTGAAATCTATGAATGATCACAGAGGTCACATGGTACAAGGCTATTCACAACAGCCTTGTACCATGTGACAATCTGTGACCAATCACAGCTCACACAGTTTTTCTCAATGGCTGCAAGAACACAGCCAGAGAGAAGGAGAAATTATTGCTTTCCATCCTTTATGTGTAAAAGCAATCAGTGTAAAAAAAAAAAATTCTTCATACCCCCCCCAACAAGTAGTACAGTGTCACTATGGTGACACTGTACTGCTAGGATGACAGTATGTTAAAGAAAAACATAACTAATAATATAAAAAAAAAGTAAAACTTTTTTTTAAATTATAATTTTTCATTATAAACTAATTTGGGTTATTTTTTTTTTTACTAAAAAGATAGATGAATAAATTTTGGCCAAGATTTCTGAAGAAAGATTATTTATTTGCAAAATTTTATAAGAAAAACACTTTTTTTTTTTTGTTTGGACTTTTTCATTTATATAGCAAAACAATAAAAATCGCTGTGGTGAATAAATACCACCAAAATAAAGTTTTATGTGTCTCAAAAAAATGCTAAAAAAATCATATGGGTGCAGTGTTGCATGACCGCGCAATTGTCATTCAAAGTGCAATAGTGCTGAAAGCTGAAAATTGGCCTGGAAGGGGGTGAAAGTTTCCAGACTTGAAGTGGTTAATTTAGCTTAGTTTAAAGCATTGTATGGATTCTTGCTATAAAATGTAGCTATATTTGTCTACGCATATACATAAAAAAAAGTATTTTCGATTGAATTTTTCTTATTGCTTAATAATATTGTATTAGAGTATTGTACTGTGGTAGCTATTGTTCAGTGCAGGAAGTTTGGTGATACCCTTTAATGGCTATATTAAGGTGGTTACATTATAAATGTTTTCACACAAAATTTACACAACTTTTACCTGAGGTTCACACATTTTTTTTAAAAGTTTGAATCCTGGGCAGGGCTGCTGTTAGAAATCATGGGGTCCCATACAGCCTACTTGACGGGTTCCCTTCTCTCCCCCCATCACAGTGCCCCCTAATCATAGGCACATATACAAGAAGGCTGTATATGTGCGGATCGGATAAGAGAGAATGCCTCGGCCACTTGTGAATGTCAGTGTGCAGTGACAACTTCCTGAAAGGATAGTTCAGGCGCATTCCAGCTAATGAGAATGCTGCAGCTGACTTTAAGGCCTAGTAGATATTTCTTAAGCCTTAGTTACATCTGTTTTGCCTTTTCACTGCCAGAGTATTTTTGCATTGTTTGCACCTACGTTTAAAATACCATTTTTGGCTTGAAGATACCCTGGAGAATAAAATTGTGGTAATTCCAGCTTTTTATGTCACATGATTTTAGCGCAACATTTATGAAACACAAAATTTCAGTAAAAAATACAGTAAAGTTAATTTTAGGGCACATAAACACAATATATTAACCAATTTTGGGGAAAATATAAAAGATGAGGTTGCGCCAAGGAAATAGATGCCAAACATGTCAAGCCTTAAAATTGCGTCCACCTTGAAACAATGACAAGGTTTGGTAACCTATATCCCTGTAATTATCATGGGCGATGCTTTAAAAGCACCTACAAGTCATCAGTATAGAGTAAACCATTAATAATAGTCCTGGAATTAATGCTCTTACCCCTGCACATACAGTGATATATAACATGTGCACCGCAATAGATGTTTTTGTGCGTAGACGTCCCTGATGTGTTTGTTTACATTCAAGTAAAATATTTTGCTGGTGGAATTTTTAAGTGCAATTTTAAAACTTTTTTTTTTTCATTTTTGCTCACATAGGGGACAACATGCTCCCTATGCGATGCATTTTTTGGTGACAGGTTTTCTTTAATGAGACATCAGGGGTCTGAAAGACCCTGTTGTCTCACTTGTCCTCTAATGACAGATGACACCAGGACCCAGAAGTGATGTTTTACATATTGCTTTTAGGTCAGTAACGAGAAGGAGAGACCAGCAAATGGACAGTCACTGATCTCCCTCTCCTCTATCCAGCGGCACCCACCATGCAGAGCTCCTGAACTACTACATGATATGTATGATGATAGCAGTGCCTTTGCAGCATAAGGGAAGTTGTTGGGGGTGGTAAAAATGTGGCACAGTCTGGCTTTTTTACTGCCCCCAAAACAAAAGTGTAAACGAGGCCCAAATGGAAGCATCGAGCTGTGCTTATGATCATCAGCATTTTAATGATGACCGCAGCACAGCTGGTGCTGTATGGCTGTTTGCACTCACTTATCACTGGCAATACTATTAGTCTACCGGTGCTATATGTGGATCTATCTGTCTCTGCCTATACCTTCAATAAAGAAGTGCTATGCAGTTCAGTTGTGATGCCTGCCTGTGCACCGGGATCCTTGTGCTGTGACCTCTCCGCTCTGTCACCTCCCACCACCCTCACCCTCCTTGGCACTTACTGAGGGAGGTAGATCACCCCCAGGGAGAGGCAGATGGCCAGAACTTTAGTTGCAGCATCGGTAACTGTGGCACTGGATTCTTTCCCCTAGGGGCCGCAAATAAAATAATAGTCCCTCTGCTACTGCCTCCTTGGCCCTCTGCTGGACTGACAAGGCCCAGGGAAATGTAATTTAAGTCCTGGAAATCCTAGGAGCCTGGCTTAACCTGGTGATCTATTTAAAACCCCTACACTATATAAATGAACAATAAAACCTCCCAGCTTCTCTGGGTATTGTGCACAGGTATAATATCCATTGGAAAACAACACATTTTGTAAACTGTCATATTTCACAGCTTAATTTACCTAATAAGAGGTTGTAAACTCCAAAAATTCTGCATCCACTACCCATAGCTCCTAACATTCTGAAAAAAATGAGACACCTTTCAGGATATTTAAGCAAAGGACACTCCTTTGTCACACCCCCAATCTTAAGGACCATGGTAAACTAAAATGCAATATTCACTTATTCCCACTGGATTTTTTTTTACTGATACTTATGCTTTATATTAGCATTTAAAAATGACAGTTGTATCGGTCTGACGAATAGATGAAAAGTTTAGTACAATATTAAAAACTTTAGTAGTTAAAAAGTACATTTGTCGATACAGATTTAGAAAGGGACATTTGAGGATGAATAGGGACTGATATATTTAGTTCTAAAAGTGGATAGTTCCCCTTGTTTGCTGTTTCAAAGTGATCATGCTAGGCATGCTCGATTCATTCTTGCATGGTCAGTTTAAATCTCTTCTCCTGACTATGGAGTTACAGAATGCTTTGTGTGCCTGTAGCCCCATAGTCAGATTCAGCTGCCATGCCAATGTCCAGCATTCCACAGTGTGACTGAGAGGTACCTGGAGACTTGCTGTCTGCAGAATATGATGTCACTGGAAGCCGCCAAGCATCTTTTGCAGGCTCTGCCCCCAATCATTTGAGACTTAGAAGACAAAGGCAAGGAATGGTCATGTAACAACAGCAAAAAACAGTTGAAAATGCTGGGTTATGCTCAATAAACCTTCTCACACAGCCAGCAAATTCAGCAGCGTTCTGTAGTGATCTGACTCTCTACCTGCACACCACATCCCCCAGCGACATCTTCCTCTCTGACGTTATGCAAAAAAATATTTGTTTTCTTTTTTTAATCAGAAGAATATCAAAGCAGAACTAAAGTCAACTTTCCATTTCAGAGGGCTTTTGCCATAATCTGCAAGTATGCACAGCATATTCACACATTATGGCAGACTCACCTGCCTATTTGCCCTCCATGGATAAGACAGTTGTGATCTCCTTCATCACTCCATTGCCAGAGGTGACATCTTCACCTAGTCTTCCTTCAGGTTTGGCATCTTTGGCCTGGGGTCGGCCCAATATGATGTAACTTCAATGCATACACATGGAAGTTCATTCATCCTACCATCTACATGCTGAGAATGTACAGTGATCTTTGCATATGCTATGTTTAGTGTTCATTCAAAAGAAACATTGCTGGCAGAAAAGGCACATGCTTTTACAGCAGAAGAGCCACACAACATTTTGCATTAAACGCTACTCTCTTTACAATGCTGTATTATATTTTTGAACCAACAGGTGCAGTTTAAGAGTCTAATTTACTCTGTTATCGCTAACTACCCTTCTATTGAAAAAAGGCTGTCTTTTACTGAGATCACTAGTTCAAGGTAAAATGTACACAAAGAATGGAATGATTCATCAAGACTCAGCCCTAGGTTTCCATGAAAGTCCATCTGCCTGAAAGGAAACAATTATTACTGCTCTGTCTCTTTAAATGGCCCATAGAACTCTGAAAATCCTTTGTCATGTACTAAATGTTTATTTGTAAAACAAAGGTTGTATACTACAACAAAAAAAAAACAGATATGAAACAGCTTAAAAATAAAGAACGGTATTAGTGAAAAAAGAATTAAGTAAAATTGACCCAACCCCATTCTTTATAACAAAATAAAAAATAAACACATTAGATCTATCATTACCACCACCTGGTTAAAATAAATAATTCTTGCACCCTAACAATCTACCTATACATTGTGGCTAAACATACATTACAAACAAAGCAATGAAACATTGTCAGCTATTTTGACAGGCAATTTTAAATATGCAAAATAAAATAATATATACAAGTGTCAATATCACAAGGTTATGTGCAATTGTCTATGATAAAAGAGTAAATTTAATTTTTATATTTTAAGTAACTGCTGATTTTTCAGTGCATATTACTCAGAAATGGCATTTTTTAAGCGATTTCAGATTTGATTTGAGAACATGTCACTGATGCGGCAATGTAATAAAATGATTTATAAAAATACTAGGGAAGATCATTTATTTATTTATTTTTCTTTCATAAGTATTTTGTTTGAAGAAGAAAAGAAAGTAACTATTTCAAAAGTTACAGAGGTAGTCACAGTTAGGTCAGTTGACAAAAGCAAATAATCTATCATATATCAAGAATAGAGTAACTCCACTAATCTATTTGGATCGTTGACAAGACATATGAAAGCAGGAGACATTCACTAAATAGTAACTGATTGTTTAACACAGGAATATACCTTAAGTTTGGGTATATTCTGAAAGAGCAGAATGGTAGGGAGATATGAAAAGAAACTGAAATTATGGT